TGGGCTATATGTTGACAAATGCTTGATGCTCTATGCTTATTCATTCTTTAATTTCACAAAGGTATGCAAGATTCATGTATTCCAGTCAAGCACAAGGCACTGAAGATAGGACAGTGAGCCAAAATCTGGAGCATTGAATGCTCACAAAGATCCCCGTCCACATGGCATTTATAGTCCATGATGAAGGGCATTAGAAAAATCATATCACAGATGTAAACTTACAGCTTTGAGACATGCATGAAGAAGGATACATATGCACACAAGTGCATAGAATAAATTCAAGATATAACCCAGTTATGAGGTTCTGAAAAAGCTGGGAAGTAGAGGATGAGATGAGGCCTGAAGGATGGATGTGCATTCAATAGGAGGGGAAGATAGTTTCGGGAAAGGATGGTGTATGCACAATGGCTTGAGATTGGGTGGGGAGGAGGTAGAGAAAGAGAGAAGGTAGTAGGGTGGAGCTCAGAGGCTGAGATAGATTGTGGAATAAAATGAAGCTTAGTGTGCAGGGCTTTGGAAACCACATTCTGGATTTGGGTCTTTATGCTCAGAATATCAGGAAGCCATAGAAAAGGTTCTTTTTTTTTGGGGGGGGGGTCTGTTTTTAGGAGTTTTTGTTTGTTTGTTTACCGTTTTTCATAATAATTGGAATATGTATTACCTGGAGAGTAAGTTCTAGAAACTGCTATAATGGTGCAAAGTCCAGAGGGAGGTTTTAAGGGGGGAAGAGCAGAGGACGGGTGAGAGGAATGCATGTGCCTTGGAACCTCTCTCTGGCTGCAGTATGTAGAATGCATTGGAAGGCACCACGGGAGAGAGCAAGCAGTTCAATCAAGACATGCTGGTTGGACGCAGGAGCTGGTGGTGGACAGGCAGCTGTTAAAAGGCATGAGCTGCCCCTGACTCTCAAGGCACATGAAATGCGCCTTTTTTTTTTGTAAAACCAAACAGATTTGGCTCTAAGTGACCACTCACCATTGAGAGCAAATGACAATTTGGAGCCAGATTTCATTTGAAGGCTCCCAGTCCTTCCCCACCCTCTCGGTTACATTAGTGCTTACCCAGTCAGGAATACTTGGGAAAGGGTGTTATAGATTTTTTTTTTGTCTCTGCTTTCAGTCTATTTTCATCTAGAAAAATCTTAGTATGAACTGTGTCTACTGTCTGATACTAAAATGTATTTGGAATTGCTGACCCAAAATACCAGCTATCTGTTTTTATCTAAAAAGTCATAACCATAAAATTGGGCACTGACACCTGGAAACATCTGTTTGAACCTTTTTTGACCATGAAAAATAGATTGCTTATAGATGATACCTTTTTTAGATTCTAGCTTTTCAACTGCCATACAATTTTAAAGTTGCCACCAAATAAGGGCATTTTCTTATCTGTTCAAAATGACCCTAAACAACATACCTGTAAATGTGAGCACAGTCTTTCTTTTGTAACAGGGGCTCGTGGTCAACAGTTCACTGTGTCCTGAGCTTTTGGTCTTGCCCTTCATAGACTGTTTGAAAGTGTAAAGTGGGAAAGTCCTGGGAAAATGTAAATTCCATGGTGGTACTGGATCACTGTGAGTAGAAGACCACTCAGATCACCCTCAGCTCAACCCTTTGCATGAGCTTCTGTGGTCTCTCTATTTGGGACACAGCTATGGAAATCCCAACACTCAAGGGGATCATTGACTTCCCTGAGGAACCAATTAGATGGGCCCCAGGTCAGAACAAAACCCCTCGACATTGCACTGAAGGCCTTGAAATCCTCTGGGGCAATTTGAGACTCTTTATTTAGCACAGATTTTGCTGGGTGTCAGAGGAATGTGATCTGGCACAGTATAGAAGCCCTTTGCAGCCCATGGCACATTTCACAGGACTGCATGTACCTTTCAGTCCATAGCTTCAGTAGCTTCCAGTGTGAGTCAGGGTGTGTGGGGCTGCTCCCAGACGTGCAGTAAACTTGCACTCACCTTTCTACTCTTTACCCCAGCAGCAGAAGTGCCTGCAGAGTTCTGAACCTTCACAGTCATGATCACAGGGCCAGCCCCACCATGGGACATGCCCAAAGTACTGCGAGTACAGGCCTAAAAAACAAATGCTATGGGGGAACCAGCAGTTAGCATAATGGCTATGTCACTGGACTCCCACATAGTCGACCGCGGTTCGCATCCCGGACCCAGTGGCTTAAAACTCACGCCGGGCGCATGTGCATGTGTGCCCAAGATCCTGAGAGGAGAATGGAGGAGAAGGGATTGCGGTGTGACCATCCCCTCTGGGGGGTGATTTCTCACTTTCTGTCTCTATGTCTCTCTCTGTCTGTCTGGCGAGCACACTTGCCCTATAGCGAAAACCTCACCAAAAACAAAACAAACAAACAAACAAAAAAATGCTATGGGAGTTCTACTCTGGACTCTTGATCCTTGGTCGTTTAGGCTGTAGACCCTTGCCTCTTTGACCTTTGCTATGGCTAGTTCCTCAAGATTACCTGACTTCAAAATGTATCCAGTGCCCCCTTATGCCAGTGACCTCCCTGACTCCTGGCCCTGTCCTACTAACACCACTGCCCTAGGGCAACCCTGAGCTAGAGGGTAGGGAGTGATGAGTGCCAAACAGTGCACAATGACAATCTCCCGGGCATGTAACCACATAAAGCAACTCTCAAGACCTCCATGGTGACATTTATGCTCCAACCCCAACTGTGGACTCCCTTCAGCCCATACCTTGCTCAGTCAGACCAGACTCCAAGTAGCTTCTCAGCATATCCTGCTTCTGTGCCCCTGTGCTTTGATATTATCGAACTCTTCCCTTTGCTGTGATGTCCTTCGCCTCCCCACTTTCACTTTTCTCCAGGCTCAGCTCCTTAGGAAGCCTTTCTTCTCTTACCCCAGGCTGGGTCACATATTCCCATTATCAATTCCCATAGAACACTGTGCTTATCTCAGTTATCACACTTATTACATCATAGTGTAATCACTGATCTCTCTCATAACTAAAAACCCATTATATTGAAAGCTTGCAAAATTCATTCTCAGTGCATGGGATTTAACAATTCAGAAAATGTTCTTGGATGAACGAATGAATGAGCAAAGGCACAACATTGGCTTGCTCTTGCTTTCTTTCTCTCTTTCTCTCATGCACACACACATACCCCACAAACAGTTTGTGTTGAAAGCACTGGATCAAACAGCTATGCACTCTTACATAAACCTAAATCACTTAATCTGTAAGATGTATGTACTAGTACTTGCCATTTTTATGAAGATCGGATTAGTTTGTGAAATAACCTTATGAACAGGGGGTTGGATGGTGGCACAGTGGCAAAACACAATTCTATGTGAGGCTGACCCTCATGGAAAGGTCCTGAGTTTATGTTCAGAGGCTTCCTGAGTATGTCAGGCACATGCATAATCTAGGACTGGCTGAGAATGGGGGTGGATCACAGTGTGAGACCCTGTTGGAGGTTTGCTCTCTCCCTCTTACTCTCTCTCAATCATGGAAGAAATAAATAAACTTAAAAAGAAAGAATGGAAAATCACCATACAAATTTAAGACAGTAATAATACTAAGGAACTTGGTAGAAGTTAAACATTGCTTAGCCACAACTTTTTGCAGTTAAACATTACTTAGACATGGTCAGTAAACAACTTACAGTTTTCTTTCTTATTTTTCTTTTTAATCACCAGAGGATGCATGAGCTCACCAGAGACAAAGGGAGTGTAGAGAAAAGAGAGGGAGAGGAAGAAAGCACACCTCAGTGGTGTATGATCATGCCACAACCCTTTCTCCTCCATTTCTCTACCTTGTTTGGATTTGGGGAACACATGCACACATACCTAACGTGTCTTCAAGTCACCAGGGTCAGGATTCCAACTGTAGTCATCCAAGTGGGATCCATCTCCCTTAACTACTAGGCCACGGGGTGGCCTCAGTTTTTTGTTATTTTCATTATGTCTTTCTCACGGCAAATTTTTTTAAATCCAATATTTTACACAGGAAAATATTCTCTTCACTCTGTTCTTTGTTAACAATGCCCTATTGGGGAAAAAAATAGATTATTTTTTGTTGTTGTTGCTATAGGGCATGCATGCTCACTGGAAACAGAGACACAGAGAGAAAGAGAGAGAGAGAGAGAGGAATCACCTTCCAGGTGGGATGGTCATGCTGTAATTCCTTCTCCTTTATCCTCCTTTTGAGATTTTGGACATGCATGTACATGTGCCCAGCATGTTTTTCAAGCCACCAGGTCTGGGACTTGAACCACACACATAGCCATGTGGGATCCAGCTGTCTTAACCACTATGCCACCTGGCTAGTTCAACTGCTTGGCCCTTAAAAATAGTTTTGACCACATTTTGGATTCTGCTCTGCCCACAGTCTTACAAAAGCTGTTGTATTCCAAAAATATTGTACAAGACTTCACATACCTGTCCACACACATACATGTCCACATAGACCTCATTAGCACAGCCCAATCAGAGGGAGAATCCATGTAGGCTTCTGAGTCGGCATTTCTGAAGAAATTCACAAGGATGATCATCTATTCACTGGTTAGGCTAATAATATTTTCTTAAATTCATTTCTCCCTAGAGTGAAAAAGAGAGCAAGCACACCCCCAACATGGTCTTCATGCTGCAATCCACCCCCAGTTTCAGCCACCCTGGATCATGGGCATGCATGCACCTGGCTTATAGAGGGAAGTCCCAGGATGCAAATCTGGAACCTTCCCACATGGGTGTTCCTTGCAGCGCATTGTGTTACCACTGTGCCACCATTTAGCTATAAGTCTCATTATTATTTTAATGATTTTTATTAATAATAGCTACTAAATGGGTATACTTGTTGTATGCTGAGTAATGTGTATTGAATATTTCAAAGTGGAAAAATCTCTGAAAAAGACACTTGGAAGTGGCTAATTTTCCACTGGGTAGTATGAATACTTAATTATTAAGAAAAGCAATGAGTTAGTGCATGGATCTATTATATGCAAGATTGATTTTTTGTTTTTTTAGTTTCAGTTGAAGTTCAGTAAATTTATTTTGTCAAAACAATCGATTTATCTTGAGCATTACTGAGCCAACAGGACATCAAAATAAAAAGTTGTCTAAAGTTAAAGACACAGTACATTAAGAAATGACCCTCAGTCACAAAATTATAGTTTGGGATGGAGGTAGATGGGAGGAGAGTTAATCCAAACTACAGCAATGATGTCTTCAAACCACCTTCCAAGCAGGACTGCTGATTGTTTCTTTTATCTCTCGATGTGATGTTGAGCTCCCTTACAAAAAAAAAAAATTTCAGTGGAGAATCATAGCTAATAATGTACTGCGAGTTCTTGAAACTATACAAGATACATTCTAAGTTACATGTGGTTTCCTTATTAGCTTGTTTGGTAGGGTGACCTACTGCAAAGCAGGCTCAATTACCCCACCAGTCAACCCCCTGGGAGTTATAATTTCCTCCATAACCATCACTGTTGTAAAATCCTCCATAGCCACTTCCGGCAAATCCTCTGCTGCTGCTGTGGCTGCCTCCACCACTGCGACTGCTGCTTGTGCGATTGCTGCTGAAGCTGGAACTGCTGGCACCGCTACTTTGTCGATAGTCTCGGGCACCAAACCCTCCACTAAATCTACTACTCTTAGAACGTCCACGATTGCTACCTTTGTAGTGGTGTTCATAAGCCATGTTTTCTAACCAAGATGGCACTTCTTGTTTAGCTTCAATAAGAAGATCTAACAAATCTTTAGTAATAGTTATATTCCTTTCATTAAAGAATGAAGTAGCAAGGCCAAGGTTTCCTACTCTGCCAGTGCGGCCAATGCGGTGTACATATTCTTCTATGTCACTTGGCAAGTCAAAATTGATAACATGTTTCACATTTGAAATATCCAGTCCTCTTGCTGCTACTGCTGTAGCAACTAGAATTGGGCATTTTCCTGAGCGGAACCGGTGAAGAGCTTCCTCCCTATCTCTCTGTGATCTATCTCCATGGATACTGGTACAAGCATATCCTTCATGGTATAAGAAATCCTCCAAAGAATCTGCACCCTTTTTGGTCTCCACAAACACTAAAGTCAGCGAATCTTTGCCTGTTGCATTTAGAAGGTCAAGTAGAAATGACCGTTTATCTGATTCTTCCACCCAAACTACTTTCTGTGTGATGTTCTCAGAGGTAGAGCCAACCCTTCCGACAGCTAGAAAGATATAATCATCCAAGAAATCACGAGCCAGCATCTGTATTTCCTTAGGAAAAGTAGCACTAAACATCATTGTGTGGCGGACACCCTTTGGAGGCATAGTATCTTGTTCAACTATTCTACGTATCTGAGGTTCAAACCCCATGTCCAGCATTCGATCAGCTTCATCTAACACCAAGTACTTGCAGAAGTCTAACCCAATCTTTCCTCTTTCCATCATATCTACTAGCCGTCCTGGTGTAGCTACTAGCAAGTGGCACCCACGTTCTAGGTCTCGAATCTGCTGACCAATATCAGCACCACCATAAACTACACAAGGACGAACTCTAGATCGGTATGAAAATTTTCTGGCTTCCTCATAGATCTGCACTACTAATTCTCTAGTTGGTGCCAACACCAAGGAGATCGGGTATTGTTTGCGGCGCCCATATCTTCCATTTTCCTTCATGGCCTTCAAAGCCTCACCTGGACCATCTGAGTAAATTTGGCTCAAGATGGGCAAAAGAAATGCTGCAGTTTTTCCAGATCCCGTTTGGGCACAAGCCATTAAGTCTCTTTTCTCTTTGATAATTGGGATGGCATGTTTTTGCACTGGAGTAGGGCGGGTATAATGGGTAAGCTCAATATTTCCCATGATGATTTCTCCCATCCTGACATCATTAAAACTTTCAATGTGTGGAGGACAGTTGTTGCCTGTTGCCTCAACTGGAATATCATCATATTTCTCAAAATTAATCCCAGTGTTACCTCCAGAGAAGAGCTCCTGTTCCAAGCGTTCACTTGGGGGGAGTGGTTTTGACCAATCATCTTCATCTAATTTGTCACACCAGCGACTGTTGCCACCGCGTTCAAATTTGCCAAAGCCACTTCTGTCAGTACGACTGCCAATGCCATCATAGTCGCTCCTCCCACGATCATCAAACCTTCCTCTTGATCCACTCCCACGATCACTGAAGAAACTAGACTTCCCTCTTGAATCACTACGAGACCCAAAACTGCTGTATGCATCCTTCTCTTTACTGGCGCTCCAGCCTGAACTGAGTTTGTCACAGAACCCTTTAGTAGCTTCCCTGTTTCTTAAATGAGGAGGGATGTAGCGCCCTTTGCTGGCTGTGGTTTCGCCACTCTGACTATCGGGAGAGTTCAGTTCTAGGCCGGCAAACTGCTGATCCAGCCCGAGAGTGTTTTCCATCACCACATGACTCATTCCTGAGGAGCACCAACGACTCGGAGTCTTTCGCTGAGGAGCGAGTGTTTGACTCACCACCGAGGCCTTCTCAGCCCAGAAGCTCAGCTCTGGCGCGGCCACCGGCCAGATGCGCCCACTGGAAAGGCCGCTGCGTCAGCACGAAGACGGCGCCTCCGACTGCCCCGGCTGAGCCGCGGCGACCGAGTCCTGCCAAGTCTCGCGGGATTTCCTTTCTCCTCAGTCCGGTCGGCTGGAGCTCAAAGCGCCAAGTATGGTCCTAGTTCGCTCGAGCTTCGCTTCCCTGCCCTCTACTGTGTTTCTGTAAGTACCCCGGCCTCAGTCTCGGAGTTCTTGAGATCTCATGAAAACTGGTCTCCCGCTTTCTGCCAGCTCTGAGGCCTCACCGTGTAACCTAGGCCTGTGCGCGCCCCTTTCTTCCCCGTGCCCCCACTTCCGCCCTTCTTTCTTTCTAGCGCTCTTTCGCTTCTTCCTTTTCGGATTCCCGGGGCTGCGGGATGTCCTTGGTCTACCTCTGCCCCTGCTCTTCCTCGCAGTCTTCCTGAATGTGGAGCTAAGCAGAAAGAGGGGTGACACCGAGGTGGCGGTAGGTCGAGTGACGGCAGATGTTGGGAGCTGCGGCCATTTTGTGAAGCCGGAAGTGCCTTGAACAAAGTGATCGAAATGGGAGAAGGGAAAAAGAGGGGGGAGGGGGAGGAGGAGGCGGGAGGAGGGAGAAGCGGGGACTGCAGGACCAATTTTCATTTAGCTTTATATTGTAAATCCCATGCCAGTTTCAAAGCCCGTGTCTTTGCTGTAGTAGTTAATGTACTCCCAGAACTGAGTTTCCACGGATAAGGAAATACATATCAGACATCTAGCCAGCTGTTTTACTACATGTCACTTAATTATTCTACAAAGTGGGTATTAGCATTCCCATTCCTCAGTGAGGAAGTATGGGTTTCAGGAAGTTAATAACTTGCCTAAGATCACAGGAAGTAGCAGAAGCAATCAATAGTAAAGGCAAGAAAAACATGATTTTGTTGTTGGGAATTTTAGTTGAGCTGTATACATGTGTTTTAAATACTTTATGACTACAGATACCAACTAAAAATGTAAGTGACGATAAACAGCTCCACAGAACTCTGCCACTGCCAAACCACAAATGCCCAGAAAGGATATAGCACTTGAGGCATTGCTGATATCACAAGAGATTGAGGAGGTCTCCAAAGTCCTTAATGTAGGTTGAGGCCAGAACAACAACTAGTTCAGACCAAGAGTGAGGAGGATTGCATCTCAGCAGTCACTGATAATAGTAGTGATAATGGAAGGGGAAGTCAAAGACTCTCAAATTGAACCTCAACTCCTCAAAGAGACTGAAATAGTCCTCAACTAGTGATGTACTCTAATAGTCATTGACAGAAGACAAAACAAATATTCTCTGCAGGAAAGCGTCTGTGAACTTGGGTTTAGACCCACAATATTTATCCAGATTAAGATCAAGCAATAGATTCACAATCCAAGATAACACAGAAGAACAAGGCACTATAGCTGAATTAGCAGAAACAACAAACAACAGATTTAGTTGGCCAAGGACTGTAGACACTGGAATTATCAGATACAGAATATAAAATAGCCATTGTATTTGAGATAAAAGAGATTAAAAATGTAACCTTAAAAATTATCAATCAGAAAGACATGATTAAGAAAATCAAATCAATTTTTAAGAATCAACATTCTAGAAATGTAAAATATATATATATATATATATATATAGATAATAGTTGAAATGAAAATTCAAAAAATGAGTTAAACAGCAGATTAGACAAAGTTGAAGAAAGAATTGTGAACTAGGAGTTATAGCCAAAGAAATTATTAAGAATATAACACAGAGAAATAATACAGAGCATATGGAAAATAGTAAAGATGATAACAGATATGGAATATTGAATGGACTATCTCAGATATTTCTAATCAAAATCCCAGAAGGAAAGAATAGAATAAAGGAGAGACAATATATTGGGTTGTTGGGAAAGTCATGACCTTTTTTTTTACATAGAAAAATACGTCATGACTTTCCTGACTACCTAATGTAAAGAGATAATTTTCCAGAATTGATGAAAAATGTAAATCAACACATTCAGGAAGCACAATGTACTCCTTATTGTCAAGAAAGACAATAAGGTTGTTAGCCAGCTTACTCAACAACAACAGGAATAATCAGTAACTTCTCTGTCCTTGCAGTTCAAACCCAGCGCTCAACTCAGGGGACTGGTTGTTAGGAAAATGAGGGAAAACCTGATGATTTTTTATTTTCCTTGCTCCACTTTTAGCCCCTTCCCACATCTCTATCTCCTCCACCTTTGAAATGGGATGGGGGGAAATGTATAGGGATGAGAGGGAAAACTGTCCTTTCTTCTCAGCTGGGAGCTATTTGTGTTCCTTTTTATCTGCAGGTGCCTTCTGTGTTGCCAGACTTTCAAATCCTTGCACTCTCATTTTGGATACCTTTGTGACCTGCACTCTTGAGCTACCCCACTGTGGTCACCCTCTTAGTTCCTACACCTATAGCCTCTTCAAGCTAAAACCCCTTGTCTCAATGGCAGTTCTCTTAAGTGGGTCCTTAAATACTACATGGATGTAATTCTCTCCACAGGACACCTAGGTGTGTAAGGCCAACCTGCTTCCATAAGCACTGACTTCTCACTCTGCCATTGCTGGCCTTAGCCAGAACTGTTTTCAGAAAGATATAGGAAAAAGACAGTCTTACTAGTCTACCTTTTCGTGTGCACAGCCAAACTCCCAGGCACACATGTAAGCATGGGCCAGACCTGTGAGTTGTTTCCATAGCTCAACAAACATCTAGCAGTGAAGCAAGGTACTTATAAACAATCTCTGTGAAGAGCTCTCCTGTGCCCTCTGGCCTTGCTCGAGTGTGTGGGTGAAGCACTTTTTCTATTTTACTGTGGAGTAGGACCCATTCTGCACATGGTGTCTAGGAATTCCTTTCAAAGACATGGCCTCAGTAAAATGCTAGCCTCCTCATCAAGCCTGAAATAGTAGTTACTGCACTGACCTACGTTCATTCTAGCAACTTCTGAATAGATGAGTTCAGAACCTTCATTTAGAGTAAAGAGTTTTTGCCACTTCTCAGCTTTGAGATCTTAGCCAAGGTTCAGAGATAAGAGATGCACTGTATTTTTTATTTTTTAGGCTAATGGTGACAGTAAAGAACTGGTCTTGGAGCAAGACAGTGGCACTGTTGTAAAACTTGACACTGCAAAGTAGACTCCCTTGGGAAGGTTCCCAGTGCAAGTCTGGAGACTTTCCTGAATATGCTAGCCATGCATGCCTAAGTCTGAGATCCAGGACTGACTTCAAGCTGAGGAAGAATTAGGGCATCAGGACCCTGTTGGGTGTTTTATTTCTCTCCCTCTAAGTCCTCTCCCTCCTTCCCCTCAAGATGCAAGATCAGCATATTTTTCTGGAATCTACTTGTTTAGCTCCTTTTATCTATGGCAAAACTCAATGCATATCCCCTGTTCCTGAGGGGTATGAGCCCTTGGACATCAATCATGCTGCCCAACACTCTCTCACCTCTGTCAAGTAGCATCCTAAACCTTTTGTCTGTCTAGAAAAGAAGTCACATGTGATTATGCGTCCCATCTATTCTTTTTGTTGATTGTTTTTTTCTCACATAGCTCTGCACTAAAATATAATAGCAATGAAATAACAATGATATTCCCACTCACATAATTTCCTTTATTAAGCATATAATCAATTCTCAGACTTCTTATACAGGAGGTCACCCTCCTATTCAGCCCAATTGCTTTATCTCAAAGCTTTTCTCCTTCATCATTGTAGAGAGAGGGCGGTGACTCGCTTCTTTGTCCCTTTGTTCTGTGTAGCTCACAACCTCTGTCATTTTTCACAATGGCTTTTGAAGTGCTGTGTTGTCCATTATAAAGGTAAGCTGCTTTCTAGATGAGAAGGCAAATTCCCCTTTTTTCCCCACTGCATTTCAGGACCTTCTGGGATGTCAAGAGTAATGTCCTTCGAAGTGGTTGTTACTCAGGGCAAGAAGAAACACAACCTGCTTCAGGAATACTCTGTAACTACTGGCTCCTCTAAGCTCTCTCCTATCCTTGCAACCGACAGTAGCACTTGGTGAAACCTCTCAAGTAGACGCCCTGTCCCTAATGTTCATCCACTAGGGTAGTGCCAGTCCTCCTCCAGGTAGAAGTGTGGGTGTGGGGTGTGGGGCACCTGCATTTCAACAAGCTTCTAGACCAAGGGGCTTCCATGCAGCTTCTTGCAGACTGTCCATGATGTCTTCTAAAAGGAATGTGAAATCTATCTCCAGAGGCTTCTGCTTCAACTTCCAGCTGAGATGCAAGATGGGCTTCTATTCCCCCCAGGACTTGGGATGCAACCTTACTTCTCTTACAAGATGCTCAGAAATGGATGGGGTCCACAGCCTAACTATGGCAGAGACCCATGTGACCTGTTCACATCCCCCTCCTTCCCTCTCAGAAGAAATACATACATTTTTAGAAAAGTTGGTCTGAAACAAAATGACTCTGCGTGAAGCCTATAGAGGGCAACCATAGTTTTATTTAGAATGCTGACTGCTTATAACACACACACACACACACACACACACACACACACACACACACACTGTTCTTGCCTTTTATATATTGGTCTTCATCACTCATTGTTCTTCCCAGAAGATCAACACAAGTTCACTGCCTTCTTTTCTTCCTCCCATCCTCCAACTCCACCCTCCTAGAAGGGAAGGACTTGCCTGACCTTGAGTTATCAGCACATGGTACCCATATACACACATGTGTGGTGTGGTGTGGCTGGAGGACCTCACTTTGTCCATGTCAGTCACTTGCAGAACTCTTAGTCCAGCTCAGTTTCATATATAACTCACTCTGCCCAACATTTTTGCTTTGAATCCAGTGCCATAGGAAAGTAACACATTTGAAAGCTTTTCACCCAGAAAACAAGTGCAGAAGCTTACCTAGTTATCACTGGGTTATTTCATTTCCCAAAGAAAGAATGATACAGATAAAACAGCATGCCAAAAGCGATCAGATTTCCTCCTTCACTATCATTTTTGATAGCTGTTTTTCTCTGCCTCCTAGGTATACTGAGCAGATCTACAGTCCCTTATTTGAAACCTTTGAAGCCAGATGTGTTACAGATCTTAGAAATTTCTGATCTCAGGAAGGTAATATAGTACAAATACCATATTTTATGTACCCTTCCCTTCGGGGCAGTCTAAGATTGTACCCTATAATTAAACTTATTACCATTCTGTATAGGAGGTATGAATTCAACCTAAGCATAATGAATTAAGATCCTAATTTGCCTCACATGATTTGGGGTCTGATTTTTACCACCAAGAAAAGCAAAACAAAACAAAACAAAACAAAAACAAATAAAATCTCCCAGCTTTAAATATTGGAATTGTACATATGGATTGTGTGTGCATATTCCCAATTTCTTTAAATCACTTACCCAGTGCAAATCAATTAGTATATATTCTTCCTTCCTTCTGCATGTATCGTCTTTCCTTTGTTCACGCTATTAGCCTGACATTAGAACCTTTTTCTTGTTCTTTGCCAAATGTATCGTTCTTAAATACCT